ACTGGCAGATGGTGGCGTGGAGGCCCCGGCTACTTTAGCAGCGTGGAAAAGCTTCAGATTGAAGAGGAAAACCGTGGACACCTTGGCCGCGGAGGGCCAGGCACTCCAGTCAGGAATCGGATCGATTCACTGGCATAGACTTCTGTTTCTGGAAGCCTTTTACGGCATGCTGTCAAACGATCGCTGGCGAGAAGAATCCCGACGGATTCCATTCCTGGCGGCGGTCGACTCAAAGAGCCTCTACGACGCGGCCAACAAGTGTACGAGCACTACAGCTTACATAAGTGACAAGCGGACGGCGATTGACCTCGCCGTCATCAAGGCGGACCTACTGGAGACCAGCGGAACGATCCGCTGGATAGACACCCGCGCTATGATCGCGGATCCCTTGACAAAGGCTCATCCAGCAGCTTACCTCCGCTACGTCATGTCAGTGGGCAGATGGTCGATCGTTGAAGAGGGAACAGCCTTGCAAAGAAAGGCACTCGAAAGGGGTGATAAGATGCATCAAATGATGTATCTGTTTTGGGAACACAAAGTGTGACCGGTGTGCTTTCGATTGGGGATAGCCTTTCCCAAAACAGGGGATCGTGATGGAATGGCTCAAGCGGAAAAGCGCACATGCTGTTAGTTTTCAGATGCCTGCCACTGTCGGTTTGGCCGACACTAGACATCCCACACAAATCCTAAACATCAACAACCCTCGGGAGACCTGAAACAAACCCTAAACAAACCTTCACAAAGACCCTGACATCATAAGCCCTAAACAAACCTTACACAGACCCTGAGCATTCCCTTGAAAAAAACTAAACATCACAAACCCCAAACAAACCCTTTACATGATAAGCACTAAGCAAACCGTAAACAAACCATCAACAGACGCTAAACAGACCATAGACAGACCATGAACAAACCTTAAAAGCAATGGAAAAGAAAAGAAATTCCAAAAATGTGACAAAACCATGCCAAACCAGTCGAAGAGCCAAAACCGTGCAAAAACACAACGAAGGAAGGAAAACAATGTAAAACACGTGGACGGTGTTGAGAATGCGGGGAACACCATACCAAACCACAGCTCGAACAGCCCAAACCGCGCAAAACACAGGGAAGCGGCCTTACCAAAGCTCTCCAGAGGCGTCTTCCGATGAGTATCTCACCCAAAATATCTTGCAAGAAGTGTCTTCCAAGGAATGTCTCTCTCGAAGTTTCCTTTGTGAAGTGCCACTCAAGGAGTGTCTCTTAAGAAGTGTCACTCCAGGAGAATTGAAGAGCGTCTCTCAAGAAATGTCTTCCATATTCTTCCATGATTGTCTTTCGAGAAGTGTTTCTCACGCACTGTCTCTCTGGAAGTGTCTTCCAAGGACTGTTTCTCTTGAAGTGTCACTCAGGAGCGCCTCTTAAGACGTGCCACAAAGAGCCTCTTCTTACCAGAGACTTCTAGAGAGACACTCGTTGGAAGACACACCTCGGGAGAGAAACTCCTTTAGTGGCACTTCTAGAGAGACACGCCTTGAGTGACACATCTGGAGGGACATTCCTTGGAAGACACTTTTTGAGAGACACGTAGACGGACACTTCCAAAGATACACTGGCAGAGAGACACTTTTAAAGAGACACTTCAAGAAAGACCCTTCTAAAGAGACACGTTAAAAGCGACATGCATTCAAAGACACTTTTAGACAGACTCTCTTTGAGCGAGCCTTCTAAAGAGACACTTAAAAAAAGACATGTATTGAAAGACGCTTGTAGGCAGACACTCTTTGAATGACTCTTCTAAAGAGACACTTCAAAAGAGACCTTTATTGAAAGACACTTTTAAAGAGACACTTCTTGGAAGACACTTTTGGAGGAACACGTTCACAGAGATACTCCTTGGGTGACACTTCTTGAGAGACTTTCTTTGAGTGACGCTTGCAGGGAGACACTCCTTGGAAGACAGTCCTCGCGTGACACTTCTGAAGAGACGCTTCTAGAGAGACACTCCTTGAATGACACTTCCAGGGAGATGCTCCTTGAGTGACAGTTCTAAGAAAACAGTTCTGGAGTGACATTTCTTCAGAACCGATTCTGGAGACACTTTCTGAGATGCTCCTGGGGTGAGAACTTCAACGGACTTGCACCTTTAAAGAAAAGGATCACCTGTGATCTTGCCATGAGACTAGCTGGCCTCATCTGTCCATTCATTCTCATCCTCAGAGGCTCAGGCCGAAATACGGCAAGGCTACTGCATGCTACTGCAGCCATGCTTGCGAAGAAAGAGTTCTTCCGTGCTAGCGCCAACCTAGAAGATTTACCCTTGCTTTAGGAGAGGAAATAGCAATCGGAGCACAAACCCTAAACCCCAGAACGTCTAGGACGCTGAATGATGCAACCTGAGCCCTGGACGATCTGGCAACTTTCACAGCAGCCCATGGCTTTCAGAAAAGGTTCTTTCAAAAAAGCTAGGGGAGCGTTAGGATGTATAAGAGGGTTATGGGAGTCCTTAATAGGGTTATGTAAACATTATTCTGCGCGCGGGCCCCGTCAGAGGTCATCGCTTGCTGTGTTTGGACAAGACGAATGTTACAATGGAGGGAAAGGTTTGTTGCACCTGTATCTGTAGGGTCCTATGCAACCACGTACACAAACTATGACAACTTGCGGGCGTGCAAGTCTTGAACTGTCCATCCGGTGTAGCTGTAGCTGTAGCTATTGTTAGCTCTGCTGGTAGAGCCAGTGGTCACAAAACGTCGGTGTCAACCGGCTCGTGACACTTCCATCTCAACATGCTGCATGTCAGAGGATGTGCTTGCCAACAGGATGAGAATGCTTTCGGAATGATAAAAATGGTGAATCCACGCTGCATGGGAACAGCGGTCGACAGAAGGATACACATTTGCTTGAAACAGCAACTTGCGCGAAGAAAAAACATGGAGAAGACACAAGCCGGAGTGCAATCGCGAGTCACGAAATCAGGGATGCATTTTTGGACACCTTGCCACAAACCGATCCGGCGATACACCGAGCAGTCATCAAGTTGGCTCGCCATCACGAATTAGCGCCTGCTCCAAGCCTTGCAATCTGCACCTCATCTTTCTAACTGGAGGACAGCGGCTGACAACGAATGCAATTAGCCAGAATACCCCACGCCTTCAATATCGGCAGCACAAGAGGCAGTCTTGAAAAAGTGCACGCTTGGAGCCCCCGAGCGAGCGATGCGCTTATGAATTCGACGCAAGGCGGCTCACTGATGTTATGTTCTGGCATCATCCCGGATGTTTGTCACATCTTTACAAACCACCTGCGTCAATAAGAACAAGCAATTGCGCAATACGTCGTTGCCAGTTTCCAGGCGCACGCGCAGAAGCCCTAGCAGGCCCAATGTTTTGGAAATTACCTGGCTGAGACGTGCCAGCCTGGACTGCGACCATGTATACTTTCGGTTTGCCTTCCGCAGGCTGCCCGGATGGCCCGGATCAAAGTCCGAAGGAGCCTCCTAGAAGCGTTGCGTTTTGGCTGTTGCACATCTCCGCCGGGCTGGACAAGCCCCCAAAGCCCCAAAGTCCAACACACATCGGCTAATCCCTCACTCACTCTAGCGTCCCATCCGCGCAGCCTGAGTGTGCAAGACTATGCAAGACTGGACCACCAGAAATTTCTCATGATATCAGCGAACGAAAGCCGCTCTGACAGGAACACCATGCGTGCGGCAAGAGCTCAGACCCCAGCATTGGCAACAGCACTCCACAACTTGAGGACAGCCTTGTGACTGGAATTGATCGTGCCTGTGTGCAACGCCATGCCAAACAAGGCACTGACAACCTGTCTCGACTTCAGCACCGGACCTTAGCCGCCTTAGCCATCTTCATTGGAAGCAAGTATTCAGGAGCCACGATAATCAAAGGTGCTGGATTTGAGGGGCGTGCTCCAAGTCTTTTGGAGTTCTCAATAACTTGAAGCCACACCTTAGGTCCAGGGCTTAGACTAAACAGGACATGAAAATTGGAGCAGACACTGTCTTTGTTTTCTGGTAAGATTGTTTCTTGTCTGCTATTCGTGTGCCGAAGCTGTATAAGGTTGTCTCTTTTTATGTTTTTGCTGTCTTTTCTATTAGTAGGCGGGGACGGGCGCGCGCGCGCAAAAGTCGCGGTAATGTCACCCTGCTTCTTTGCCAAGATCTTGCTTACAGGTCCAGCTTCACTAATTGGTGAAAAAAACTGCCAGTGCCATGACAGCTCCGTTTGGACGCTAGGCTGAACTATGGCAGGCGATCGCGATGGAGAATGAAGCGCTTATGCTGATGATATGGTGGTCGAAGAGTTGGAGATTAGGATGATTATGATGATATGGTTGAGGCCAGAAATGAGGACGGCTTCGAAGGGGCCTTAAGGAGGAGGGCCTTGCGGGGAAACTTTCAGGAAGGCTGCAAGGAGGAGGAAAGGATGGCTCTGAAAAGCAGGGCTGTGGGGAGGATTGGAGGCGCCAGCCATTGATGATGTGACGGGGAGGTGCCAAACACTGATGGTTTGTCTGAAATGGTTGAGGTTGAAATTAACAAGGGTTCTGAGGAGGAGGGGGCACATGGCTGCCCCGTAGGAGGTGTCAGACGGTGATCGCGCTGCAGATTCTTGAGAGCCGAACCGGCCATGATTTCTCCAAGAAATGTCTTCCCGTAGCTTCATTTGGTACCAAGAGTTGGCCATTAAGCTGATCAAAGAAGCCTGTGGAGAAACTGGCGTCACTCACTGAAACAGCTCATGATGACGTCTTCGCACATTCGGCACAAGATATGAAGTTGAACAGATTCACAGAGAGATAAACTTTCTTTTTTCCCAAACTTGTGGAGAACAGGCCACTGGTATTCCTGGACGATGGACTCTGCTTGCAGGCCTTGCAGCCGCCTGAACAACGCGCTCTTGAACCCTGACCTGGTCCTGTGAATGAGCGCATCAGGTGCGCCATGTGAGGGCGAGCCTGCAAAGGACTAAGAGTTTCACCGCAGCAAGACAGCATGAGCCAAGGGCCATCCTCA